TGCCTGACTGTCCCCATGCCGTCCTATGCTGTTCTCTCCCATCCTGCGTACTTTCCTTATCTTGTGCCGTCAGTCCTACCCGAGTCACTACAGCCCATTTCCAACTTCCCTCCGTCAGCTTTCTTTACGAATCAATAACGTTTAGGACTCTTTTGTAAGTTCAGCAAGGGCCCCCGCGGCATACAAAAAATAAAATAAATAAATAACTGGAAACAACAGGTTCACAGGAAGGTTCTAATTTCAGGAATACACCACATAGAAAAAAAACCTGGAAGCTTCTACTGCAGAAACACAATCTGCCTCTGTTGTGGTTCTGAGACTTTTTGTTGTCACTGTCGCACACCAGAACGCCGTGCGGAGCAGTGGGACTTCACGAGGGAATCTTCTGGTTGCGCTTCCCGCCTTCTACGGCACGTGGAGCAGCTGAGGGGGGAGGGGCGGCTTCCCGGAGGAGCAGGCGGGCAGCGGCAGCAGCAGCTCCGCTCAGGACCCGAGCGTCTGTCTGTGTCGCTCCTGCCCCAGCTCAGCCCTGGCAAACCTGTGTGCCTGGAAGAAGGCTGCGTAGAGACGTGTTGGCGTCCATCCCCGAAGACTTCAAAGGCAAGGCTGGAGCGGGCAGGGCGTCCGATGGAGCTGTGGTGTCTGTGTTCAGAGCGGGGCAGTTGGACGAGATGGCCTTCAGAGTCCCTTCCAACTCTACGGGTTCTGTGGCTCCATGATTCTATGCCCTGGGCTATGAACGTGCGGGAATCAAGTCTTGTTTCTGCATTACAATTGGATAATTTTGTTTTTATTTCACGAGCTCTGCTATCATAGTTCTTTTGGGGAGTCCTTCTACTTCACCTCGGGAAGATCTCTGATAGTTTGCATCACTGATCCTCTAGACGAACCTTCCCAGGCACGCACACTCTGTATAGAGGTGTATATCTGTACATTTGGTCACACGCTGCAGGAATATCCTGCACGAGAGCAAACCACAGAACAGCCATGGCCTGCCCCAGGAAGCGCCTGAAGAGACATCGGCAGGCCTGGCATCATCCCCGGTGCTCTTTGTTTAACGCAGACTTGAAAGAAAATCGCCGTATCAATACGGCAAGGAGAGCACCGAGACAGCTTGGAAACAACAGCACGGCTGCTGACTGACAGCAGGTAACAAATAAATTAACAAGTAAACAGCAAATGTCAACCTTCTGTAAGATTGTGAACCTGGAGTACGCAGCCAGTGGGGAAACGGGGGAGGCAAGGGGGAGGCAAGGGGGAGCAAACAGGGTCTAAAGGCTGCCATGTTGTGTCCATAGGCGCTCCTGCTTGCGGGACGCCGCCATTGCAACCGCAAATAAATTCTGCTGTTACCAGAGATACCGTCCTGACAAACGTGACTTGGATATTTCCAATTAATGGATGCAGTGTTTGCTGTGATCCATTCTCTATGCAACATGTGAGCACAACCAGATGTGTTTGGTCTGCGCCCCTACAAGCTGCTGAGGGTACAGGCACAGTTCTAAAGGCCGCCCATTGTGTGTCATCAGTGACATCACAAAGGGTGAGGGCAGCCTAGGTAATAGCCAAGGGAAAGCCAGAACAGTCGCAGGAGCGACAGCGACAGGAGCACAGGGACCTTCAAGGCTTCTTGAGCACAAGGACCTTCAAGGCTTCTTGAGCACAGGGACCTTCGAGGCTTCTTGAGCACAGTCCACTTCTCACCATGCCACTTCCGCCTGCCCGTAAGAGCCGGCGAATCTACCTTTCCTTCTCCCCTCCCTATGCCAGCTCTGGTTCTCAGTCTGGTGAGACGGAGGTGAGACCCCCCTGCAGGCCAAGGTTGGCTTGGCAGGAGTGGCCTCCTGAAAAGGAGGAGAAGGAGAAGAAAAAGAAGATCACAAATCCACGTGAGTAACGGGTGGGAAGCACTGGACACAGCGGTCATGCTTGATTCAAAGCTGGCACCCACTTCTTCCGGCACCTCCTTTCCTGAAACTCCCTTTCCCAGCATGGAGTCCAGCTCCAGCTAAAGGGAGCGTGGAACCACGGGATCCAGGAATGGTTGGGTGTGGAGGGACCTCAAAGCCCTCACAGGCCCAGCCCCTGTTGTGGGCTGGTTGCCACCCACTGGCTCAGGCTGCCCGCAGCCCCATCCTGCCTGGCCTCGAGCACCTCCAAGGATGGGGCAGCCGCAGCTTCTCTGGGCAGCCTGCGCCAGTGCCAACCTCTCCCAGACTGTTGGGATGGGTGCCGAGAGGCTGCTGGGCTGGCAGGATGTCAGGGAAGCAGGCAGGCAGGATGGCTCACTCCTTGCCTTTGGCCCCTCTCTACGGTGCTCATTCTTCTCCTCTTGCTTAGGTATTCGCATCTTGGAGCTGTGGAGAGAAACAGCCATCGCATGCATCTGTGAGTTTCTGCAGAGAAAGGACAAGGTAAGAGCAGCTGTTTGCACTCACTGTGGAAACAGCCCCGGTTCTTCTCCAGGCCGCTACCCTGCAGGCATTGCACCGCGCCCCACGATGCTTGGGGTCCTGCTGGCCGTGGATCTCACCTTCATGCCCCCTCTTGTTCCCTCTTTGACTACCAGGATGTGCAAGAGAAAAATCAAGAGAAAATCAAATTCCTGAGAGGCATCTGCACGCTGTGCAAATGCAGGGACACGTCGCTCAACTTGGATGCTTTCTGCCAAGAAAAGCAGCTGGCAGAGAATGTCCAGGTGGGGAGAAAGGCAGTGGGCTGGAAAAGGGGGCATGGACCCCCTGTACCCTTTTGTGGACAAGGCTAGCACGGGGAGAATTGAGCACGGACACGTAAGTGTCCTCTGGTGGCTGCCACGTCCCATCCATCCCATCCCTCCTGTGTTCCGCAGGAGCTGATCGATGAGGAGCCCAAGCACACTTTGTCCTCGGAGATAAAGCAGGAAGCCATGATGAGTTTTGCCAACATGAGGTAGCTGCCCAGGCCCACATTTGGCTAGCACGGCCCCAGGGCAGGCTGCTGGCGGCCCTGAAGCTGGCAGGGAGGCTTCCTCCTGCCCGTGGAGGTCCACGTCCTCCTTCCCGTGGCCTCGAGGCACGGTGTCCAACGGGCTTCTCTCTCCCCTTGCAGCACTGTGGAGACAGCGCTGGAAGGCAAAACGGAGAGCATTCTGAATTCCTGCTTCAACAGTGTCTTCTTTTTGCCTCCGGAACTGAGCATACCAGCAAAGGAGAAAGAATTCTACAATGAGGTGTGTGCTGGGTGAGCCACCGGAGCGCCAGGTCCCTTTGGGCTGCTCCCTGGCTCCTTGTGCTGAGACCGCAGGAGAGCCAGGCAGGGCAGGAAGCCAGCTTTGCTTTTCCACCCTCGTCTCGTCTCTTCTCTGGGGATAGGGTTAGCATGAGGCGCCCCGTGAGGTGCCGCAGGCGCCCTTCTGCAACTCTCTGTCCTCTTGCAGACCATGAGGGCCATGGACATCATGCTGGAAGCCTTGGTGCAGAACTGCCCCAACAGGAGAATGAGCGAGGAGCTGCACAGCATGTTTCAGGTCTGGCAGGCAGTTGCAAAGAGCGGGGTCAGTGGGAGGGATGCGAATGTCCCTACTGCGGTGACACAGACCCTCCTTGCACGTGAAGGTCCTGCAAAGGATCCTGCCCCTGCTGCTCTGTTCTTCTTCCCCCGTGGGGAAGATCCCAGAGCTCCTGCTGGAGCGGCAGAAGCTCCCAGGGCGAGTACCAGCAGATTCTCTCTTTGCAGGCTCTGCTCCACTTCCTCAGCTCCCAGGATGTGCATGTCCGTACGAGAGCCCTGCGTGGGGTTTTACAGATGATCCGTAATTTTATGGAAAAAGTAAGGAGCCAGGCACCCTCCAGCCAGGCTGTCTCCCATTCTCCATATCCCAGAGCAGCTCAGGGGTGCCTGCAGCGGGGCTGCGGCTGGGAGCTCTCAGCAGGGCTCTGCCCCAAACAAGGGTCCTTGCCCCATCTTTGCCCCCGCTCTTCCCTCTCCAGGCCCTGCTCTGCTTCCACTCAGCCCTTCCTCTCTTCTCCTTCTCTCACCCAGGACTGGGAGGGCCCTGAAGCTTACAAGCCACTCATTGACTTCTACTTCCCAATCCTGGGAGAGCTGCTGGGTCACCTCAGCCTTTTCAACTGTGGCTACGAAAGCACCAGAGCCCCAGCTGTACAAGCGCTTCATCGCCTCCACATGTTTGTCAAACGACAAAGAAGTAAGACAAGATGGGTTGGGCAGCATCTCTGCTCCTATGTCTGCTCCTTTCTCCTATTCTTATGCTTTGTGAAGCCTGACCGTGGAGTCCGCAAGCTCTCTGAGCTCCTTTACTCTTACGAGCAGCTTCACCATTCCTAAGCTGCCTCTTGCTCCCAGCACCCATCTCCTTTAGCTGTGTAATCCCTTTCCTTCACTCTCCTCAGCATGGGTCCCATCAACCCATGTCTGCTCACCATTGGTCTCCGTGCTCAGGTCTCCTACACCACGGGTCCCCTCTACCGTGGATCTCCTCAGAACTCCGTTTTCAGCTTAAAGCACCGTTCACCAATTGCTGAGTTTGATGGCAAAGACACAGTTTCCTTCTGACTCTTCTGTGTTCCCTCCCTTTTAGGAACAGGCCTGTCAGCGGAGATGGAAAACTACGTGCATCTCCATGAGAAGCCGGAGGGTAGAAAGTTCAGTGATAATGACTTTCCCACTCCCAAAGATTGTGCTGAGGTAACGTTCTGCCTTGCTGAGGATCTTGTCCACGGCATCAGCAGGAAATGTCTGTGAGCAAGGGGAGTGCGAGGGCAGCAGATCCAGCCCTCCTGGCTGGAGGACCGCAAGGCCTTCTTACCAAACGCCCATGCCCCCACCTGCAGTCCATCTCCCAGAGCCCTCTCTTGCCATCCTGCCCCACGCAGTGACGGAAGCTGATGCTGCCAGCTTTCCTACAGGCTCTGCTGCCCAGCATCTCTGCAGAGCTGCTCTCCCTGCACTGGAGTGCTCAGTGTGGCATCTCTTCCCTCCCCTGCTTCCACCCACAGTTGTTTGGAGGATACCTCAGGCCTGCTGAGAGGATGGACGTCGTCCTCACAGCCCTTCAAGCGCTGGTTGACTCCAGCATCTATGACAAGGAGGCGGCCTGCAGTGTGATGGCCGTGGCCATGGAAGACCACGCCTTCTGGATGCCAGATGTAAGCCCCTTTTGGCCACTGCCCCATCCTTGAGCCCTTTCAGGCGCTGTTTTTCCCTCCCCAGCCGAGGCCTCTGGGGCTCCTGAAGCCGTTCTCAGCGATGGGAAGTGCAGTGGTTTCAGCGGCACCTGTGCTAATGGTTTTGGTCTGTTCTCGCGTGTGTCCCCTTCAGAAAGCCCAGTTCATGACCTTCATCCGCAAGAACTTGAGGAGCATCACCACAAAGGCAGCGCGGCACTGCCTGGACTCCCTGCTGCTCCTTCTGACCAGCCAGATGCCCACGGAAGAAGTCAGGAGCCTGCTGAAGTCCTCTCCACCAAGCGACAGGTACTGTCCTCAGCAGCCTGGAGGGCTTCTTCCAGGTGCCCTCCTGCTCGCCCAGGGCTCTCCAAGCAACGTGGGCCTGCAGGGTTTTAGCTGTGCTAAGGTAGCTCTGCCTACAATGTATTTGGGCTTGCAGCAACGCCCTGGACCCGTGGGAGGTGATGCTCTGCATGCCGCAGACCTTGGAGAAGGTCTTGAAGGAGGTGACCAAGGGCTCACAGCTGAGCAGGCTGGTAGAAGGAGTCACAGAAGACACCTGTATCCTCTTCTTGGCTGTGAGTTAATGGAGAACATTTTGCTGCCCTTCGGGGCTGCGTGTGCCCCTGCAGGCTCTCACCTGGCTATGTCTATGTTTCAGCTAATGGCAAAGAGTGAAGATAATGAGGACTTTTTTGGTGACCTGCGCCACCTCAAGACTTTTCTGAAGCATCCAAGCGTGGAGATGCACAGCGTGGTGCTCAGAGGGCTTGTCGTACTCTCCGAGACACGGGAGAAGGTGAGTGGGGCGTTGTCAACCAAAGCGGCACTGGGCTTCTTGGGCAGCGACGGGAGAAGGGTGACGGTCACGGTGGGGCCTGCTGGCTTTGAGGAGCTTTGAGGATGGGACGTCAAAGCCCAGTAAAGTCAGCTTTTACCGTGGGCTAGTTGTCACCTACCAGAGCAGGTTGCCCCTGGCCCCATCCGTCCTGGCCTTGGGTACCTCCAGGGATGGGGTACCTACTTCTCTGGGCAGCCTCACCGCCCTCTGAGAAAAGGATTTCCCCATTGGCCTTGCGACTGCCGTGCCCGCTGCCAGCAAGTGAAGCAGGAGACTGGAGCTCAGAGACGGGAGCCTTTTGCCCAGGCGGTCGTTCCCGCATCAGACAAAGGAACTTGCGTTTCCTACAGGCAAGAAAAATGCGGGTGGTGCTGCCAGAGATCATGGCCACCCTGCAGGATGCCAGCGCAGACATCAAGATGAAGGCCCTGTTTGTCATTCAAAACATCATGGGCTGCGTGAAGAGGAAGGAGGCCAGCTCCATCGCCGTGCAGCACGCCGAGAAGCTCCTGCCTCTCTTTGTCGATGTAAGTGAAGCTGCTGCAGGAGGCAGAGCCCTCGCAGGGCACTCTGCAGTGCCCCCGCCTCTGGCCCAGCTGTGTGGGCAGCACTCGCATCGGGCCCTCTCCCCTCCCCGCTCCTCCTGGGGCTCCTTCCGAGCAGTGGGACGGCTGTGGGCCCTCGGAGAGCCCCGCGCCCAGCATCTGCTCCCCACCCTTGGCTTCCGGCCCTCCGTGCCTCCTCCGCTGCCTGTGCAAGGCCAGGCCAGGCCTGGTCCCCACGCACGGTGCAGGAAGGCCCGCAGGCGCTGCGTGCCACGGAGGCCGTGTGAAGGCGGCCCGGCCTCCTCGTGCTAGAATTCTCTTCCTTCCTCCCTCCCTCCCAGGAGTCCAGTGCCGTGCAGGTGTCCTCCATCCGTCTCTACAGAGACATGGTGCAGGCCGTGGTCTGGTGCCACCGGAGCAGAATGAAGGGGACGGTGCGCAGAGGCCTGGTCCCACTGCACCTTCGGATGCACGATGAGAACCAGGACGTGGCCCAGGTACAGTTTTCCGCCCCACCGAGGGCACGTGACACCGTTTGGGTGCTGTGGGTGCCAGGGTGCGTGGCTGCTGCCCGAGGCCCGGAGGACAGGCCCAGCTCCCTGCCGTTCCTTGCACCGGAGCAGGCGGCGGGGTCGTGCATCCACAGCCTGGGCTCCGAGCTCTGCTACCCGCAGCCTGGGTGTCGAAGGCCTGGGACAGAGCCAGCTGGGAGCCCAGCGTTGTGCTGGGTGACCACGGAGGGGCTGCGGCTCCGTGTCTCTGTGTGGCCATCACGCCCTGCTGTCCGTGTTCTGTTCCCTTCCCACAGCGTGCTGGGAAAAGGCTCCCGGCCCTGGCAAGAGGAGGGCGATGCCGGGTCTCCTTCCTCGGGCCTTGGTGCCATCTCCCAGCTTCTGCTTCCTCACAGGCTGCCAGGGGAGCCATTGTACAAACGGCCCGTCTCCTGCGCTGGAACGACCTCCTGGAGCTGGCTGAGAAACAGGAGACGTGGAGGATCGCGCAGTGCTTGGTAAGGAGAGCCCCAGAGCCCAGAGCAACAGGAACAGCGCGGGGAGCTGGGGAGCATCTGCAATCCCCATGTTCTTATGCTTTCTCCAGCTGCAGCGGGACCAGAGCAGGGCAGAGGAATACCTGCAGCAGAGCCAGCCCTACCTGCAGGACCCTCAGGCCGCCGTGCGAGTGGAGGCCGTGAGGTTCATTGGTGAGCCACAGCCCCTTTGTCCCTCTTGGCAGTGGTTGGCGGTCCCAGCCACTGCCCTGTGGCCCTAAGAGCCCCTTGAGTGGGTGCCAGGGTCCTGCTGCCTTGCTCAGGCCGCCCTCGGCCACTCTCGTTGCTGGGGAGCAGTGCGGCTCTGCTGCTGGCAGCAGATCTGATGGGTGCTCTGTGCCTAGGGCTTGCTGCACGCTACTCAAGGGACCTGAGCGAGAAGCAGCGACAGGACATCATCACGGGTAAGTGAGGGCTGTGGTGTGTGTACTGAGGCTGGGGGCAGAGACTCCCATGCCTCGCTCTCCTCCCAGGAAATTCTTGGGGCAGAGGGCGATACAAAACCACAGAGTCCTAGAAAGGTTGACTTTCAAGCGACCTTAAGGATCTCAGAACCAGGGAATCCTAGAGAGATGGGACCAGAAGGGACCTGAGAGATCACGCAGTCACGAGATCCTAGAATAATTCAGTGGAAAGGGAGCTCAAAGGTGGTACAACCATGAAATCCCAGAGTGGGAGAATGGTTCGGTTGGAAAGAACGTTTAAGGCCATCCTGTGCCAACCCCGTACTGTGTCCTGGATGCCCCTGGACACAGGATCAGGCTGCCAAGGCCTCCATCCAACCTGGCCTTGACCACCTCAACGGGTAGGGAACCCGCATGTTTTCTGGGCTGCCTGTGCCCTGTAAGGAAAGGCCTCCCTGCCCTGTAAGGAAAGAATTCTGTCCTAAGTCAGAGTCCGAGGAAAGGGCAGCAAGGCTGATATTGTGGTGGGAGCCCAAGCTCGATGAAGAGGGAGATGATATCATGTCATTGTCTGTGATGTCTGCTGGCAGTAGAATGTCTGGAGAGGAAAGTCTTGGGGAGATGCCTGGGGTGTGTGAAGGAGAGCCTCCTTTGCAGGATGTGAGAGGAAAGGAGGGAATGTGTCCACCTGCAAACAGGGAAGGACATGTGGGTTATGTGATGCTAATGATCTCAAAGGTCATTTCCAATTGAGATGATTTGGTGATTCTAATGCATTTGGCTCTTTCCTGATGGGCCGCTCCGTTTGTCCTACCCAGCCTGGGACAGAGACGTGTGGCATTGGAGCGGTCTGCGGAGTTCGCCAGCGATCTCTGCAGATTGCTTCATCCCTGCTCTGTTTCTTCCTGTTGCAGCCCTGGCGCCTTTGGCCCGTGACGCGGAGAGCTCGGTCCAAAGCTTGGCAGTGCAGACCACATTGATCCTCAGAGCGACCACGAGGACAGCGACATCACGACGGGGCCTGCGAGCGCTGTGCTGTCTGTTCCGCTGAGCTGCAGCACTCCTGAGACAGCTCTGTCCCTCGGAGGAGCACAGCAAACCCAGTGCCCTGCTGCCCTTCTCCCTGGGGCGTCCCTGCCCGTTCTCAGCAGGCGCCGCCATTCCCGGCCTCTGCTCCCGGCGGCTGGACGGCGCATCCCTCTGCACCCCCGCGGCCACGGCTGCCCAAGCTGTTGGCTTGGCTGAGCAGCACTGAGTGAAGAGGGATTGTCTCAGGCCGCATCTGCGCACATATACATCATGTGCAATGTAACATGTAATAATGTAATGGGCTGTGTGTAATGGATAACATTACGGATACATATATGTTCAATGTATAGAAACAACCAACCTTCTTCTTGTATATCTTTTTGTATATCTATTTTTATATTTAATAAAATATTTTTATAAATACAACGGTCCCTTCAAACTTGTGGGAGATTTAACCTTTGCTTCCCTGAAACTAATGCAGCAATTTCTGTTTCGGTGGAAATGGCTGCAATTCTAAATGAGTTCTCGTGGTGCTCATCAGAGATGGATTCTCCGTGGGGAAATCATGAGCCAACCCGGTAGCTTTCTCTAATGTCATCACCGGCTGCGTAGTTGGGCGGAGAGCAGTGGGTGTTGCGTCCCTTGTCTTCAGCAAGCTCCCTCAGCTGGCTGTCATCAGTGGCGCTGAGTCTGGCTGGTGGCCTGCAACGGTGCTGGGGCTTTGAGAGGCCTTGGAGGACGGGGGAGGTGCCTGAAGACTGGAGGAGAGCCAATGTCACTGCGGTCTTCAAAAAGGGCAAGAAGGAAGATCCAGGCAGTTATAGGCCAGTCAGCCTCACCTCTGTCCCTGGAAAGGTGATGGAACAGCTGTGCTGGAAGCCATCTCCAGACAACTGGAAGAAAAGGAGGTGATCAGGAGTAATCAGCACGGGTTCACCAGGGGGAGGTTGTGCTTGACCAATCTGGTGGCCTTCTGTGATGTTGTCTCTGGCTGGGTGGATGGAGGGAGAGCAGTGGATGTAGTCTACCTTGATTTCAGCAAGGCTTTTGATACTGTCCCCCACGACATCCTTATAACAAAGCTGAGGAAGAGTGGGACAGTGGAGTGAGTGGACAGTGAGGTGGGTTGAGAACTGGCTGACTGGCAGAGTGCAGAGGGTCGTTGTTGGCGGCGCAGAGTCTGGCTGGAGGCCGGTAACCAGCGGTGTTCCTCAGGGGTCGGTGCTGGGTCCGGTCTTGTTCAACATCTTCATCAATGACCTTGATGAGGGGATGGTGGCCACCCTCAGCAAGTTTGCTGATGATACAAAGTTGGGAGGATTGGCTGACATGCCTGATGGCTGTGCTGACATTCAGTGAGACCTGTACAGGCTGGAGAGCTGGGCAGAAGAAAACCGGGTGAGGTTTAACAAAAGCAAGTGTAGAGTCTTGCATCTGGGGAGGAATAATTGCATGCACCGGTACAGGTTGGGGGATGAGCTGCTGGAGGGGAGCTCTGCAGAGAGGGACCTGGGTGTCCTGGTGGATGACAGGTTGGCCATGAGCCAGCAATGTGCCCTTGTGGCCAAGAGGGCCAATGGCATCCTGGGATGCATTAAAAAGAGCGTGGCCAGCAGGTGGAGGGAGGTGATCCTCCCCCTCTGCTCTGCCCTGCTGAGGCCTCATCTGGAGCACTGCGTCCAGTTCTGGGCTCCCCAGTACAAAACAGACAGGGATCTCTTGGAAAGAGTCCAGCGGAGGACCACAAAGATGGTGAGGGGCCTGGAGCATCTCTGCTATGAGGAAAGGCTGAATGAACTGGGTCTGTTCAGCCTTGAGAAAAGAAGGCTGAGAGGGGACCTGATCCAGTTCTATAAATATCTAAGGTGTGGGGGGCAGAATGGCGAGGCCGGACTCTTTTCAGTGGTGAGTGGAGACAGGACAAGGGGAAACGACCGGAAACTGCAGCATAGGAAGTTCCGCACCAATGTGCGAAGGAACTTCTGTGCAGTGAGGTGAGGAGCACTGGAACAGGCTGCCCAGGGAGGTGGTGGAGTCTCCTGCTCTGGAGATGTTCAAGACCTGCCTGGATGCTGACTTGTGTGACCTGGTGTAGGGAACTGCTTTGGCAGGGGGTTGGACTTGATGAGCTCTGGAGGTCCCTTCCAACCCCTACAATTCTGTGTCATTCTGTGATTCTGTGATTTGGATTGCCCCCATTGCTGCTGATGCCCACAGCTCCTGGCTGCTGTGCTGCTGTTGTGTGTCTCTGCACAGTTCCTACTGGGGCATGAAACCCACAGGAGAGGAGGAGCAGAGAAGCTACAGCCTGCACAAGGAGCTTCTGACGCCTTTTAAGTGGAAGGTTTTTAATGAATAGAAGGAGGCTGTGACTCGTGTTTCATGAGCTCTCGTCCAAACGCCACAGATGAAAGAAACAGTTTGGCAGAGTACGAAATGGCTGCAGGTACGCTAAGAAGCAGCAAGGCAAGTGAAACTGCGTGCAGGCCGCGTTGCCATGGCGACAGTGCGCCCTCTCTCGCTGGGCGCGCATGTGGCCGCTTGGTGCTCGAGCGCCGCGTCCTGTGACGTCATCGCTCTGCGTCCCGACGAGGACGAGTCCATGTGGAGTCGTGCCCCTGTATCTCCATATGACACTGCCCCCTTTATAGATCCGCGTTACCCTACAGCCGCCCTCGATCCCCACAGCCCCTCTATAGCCCATTATTACCCTATAACCCCTCTATATCCCCACATTACCCTCCAGCCTCTCCATATCCCCATCTTACCCTTCACCCCCTTGTAGACCTATATTACCCAACAGCCCTCCCATATTCCCCTGCAGCTCCCTCAAGCCCCATAATTCCATATTGCCCCTGTCGACCCCTTCAGGGGGCTTCCACCATCGTGGGCCCCTTCCTGAGCTGCAGTGTGGGTTGTCACAGCTGTCCCCCATCGTGCCACGAGTGAGTGCCCAGCTCAGCCTACGGTCAACTCCCCTGATTGTAACCAAACCTCCCTCAGCCCAAACCTCCCAAACCGCGTAGCCCATTGAGGAGGTTCCTAAAAGGCAGCCCAGGTGCTTCAGGCCCATTCACCACCGTCACCGTGCTCTGTCCCCTGCCGGGTGGCAGACAGGAAGCACAAGGACAGCAGTAAGTGGGCTGAACACCCTGTGCCTGCCAGCACGCCCAGAAAGGGGAGAGCTTTAGCCACAAGCAGCCCACCAGCAGCGCCCCGGCCAAGAAGGGGAAGAAAAGGCTGCAGACCCCCATGCCAAGTGAAGCTGTCTGGGGCCAGCAGCAGCGGGCAAGCAGGCACTGCCAGCGAGCTGTGTGTCCACCTGTGTGAGTCCATCCAGGCCATGCACCCGCTGGGGCAGAGGGTGACTGCGGTGAGGCCGGTGTGGTGTGGGAGGGAAATTCAGGATATGGATAGTGGGGGGAGAAGGAATTCAAGTGGGGTGGGAAATTGTGTAGAGGGTGGGATATTTGGGGTGGCATTTTCAGGATCAGACATGATTGTTAGGATGGGGGATATCAGGTTGGGAATATTGCCATTTCTCATTGTTTTGTTCAATCAATTATTAAATGCTTTGTGTTCCCTTTGCCATATCCCTCTGCCTGCAGTCCTTTGTGCTGTGTCACAGCCCCCCAGCTCCCCATGCCTGCCTCTGGGGCAGGATAGGGCACCACAGACAGCCATGTCCCTCAGCTGCCACCACCCTGGGAAGCCCCAGCCCTCCTCTCTCCCTGCAGTCCTTCGTGCAGCGGGATGCAGAGGGCATTTCACACAGCTCGCCTGCACTGCCCAGTACCATGAATTGCTGTGGGGATGGGCAGCAGGCAGGGCACGGGCGGATGGAGGGGAGTCACCCTGGGTCACTGTGGCCAGAAGAGACTCCAGCAGGGGCAGTTTGTGGAGGGAGGAAGCAGGGGCAGCTGGTCCTGCTGTGCAGATGTGCAGACAGGCACAAAGATACCTCACGTGTCACGGCTCTTCTGCCTCCCCGGTGTTTGGGTCCTGGCAGTTTTGTCTTCAGACAGGGACTCGGTCAAGTCTGTACACCTAGAGCAGGATTTTCCAGGTGGCGACTGGTCATCAGTGCTGCCCCCAGGGCTCAGGACTGGGGCCACTCCTATTGAACACCTTTATCGGTGATCTTGATGGGGGGATTGAGTGCACCCTCAGTACGTTCACAGACCACACCAAAGTTGGGAGGGAGCTCTGATCTGCTGGAGGGGAGAAAGGCACTGCAGAGCGACCTGGATAGACTGCATCAATGGGCCAAGGCAAAGCGTGTGAGTTTCAACAGGGCCAAGTGTCGGGTCCTGCATGTTGGTCACATCAGCTCCAGGCAACCCTACAGACTTGGGGAGGAATGGCTGGGATGGGATGTGAAAAATAACAAGAAGGGGCTCTACAGGTACATAGGCAGGAGGAGCGAGATGAAGGAGAGTGTTACCCCTCTGCTAAATGAGGATGAAGAACTGGCTTCCTTAGACATGGAAAAAGCTGTGGTGCTCAATAAGTGCTCTGTCTCAGAGGTCAGGCTCCTCCCCATGTCTGCCAGGACCCTGAAGGTTGAGGGAACTGGGCTTGTTTAGCTTGGAGAAGAGAAGGCTCCAGGGAGACTTCATTGTGGCCCTCCAGTACTTGAAGGGAGTGTATAAACAGGAGGGGGAACTGCTGCTTACAAGGGTGGATAGTAATAAGAGAAGGGGAAATGGTTTTAAACTGAAAGGGAGGTTCAAAGTTCTACATTTAAAGATTAACGCATCCATATGCAGTACACTGGCATACATATTCTTTTCCCAGTGCTCATTAATATACGCTAATATCTCTGTGGGCACTGTGCGGCTTCATATAAGGTGATCGCATGACCACTTCCATTCTCCCCATCTTTCCATTATCTGCTCCATCACGGTGACTTCTGCCCAACCTCAAGCTGTTTTACCCCAGTCTGGCAAACTTCCATCGCTCCTTGGGCCATCCAGCTTCCGAAGCAACGGATGTGAAATCCGAGCACGAAGCTCCTGGTGCGCGCAGCTCAGCCGTGCAGCACCGCTCTGCGCGCTGCCCCGCGGCATACGGGGACGCCGGGACCGAACACGGCGCGGCTCCGCCCCGGCTCGGCGCCGCGTTCCCGCCTCGGGGCCGCGCACGGCTGTGGGTCTGACGGGCGGGGCCGCGCCGCAGCCGTCGTTCCGTGCGGGGCCGCGCGGGGCGCGCCGGGAGCCGTAGTTCGTCGGCGGTCATTGCGCTGCCGCCCCGCCGGGACTGTGAGCCATGGAGAGCGGCTTCGGCTCCGACTTCGGTTCCGATTTCGGCTCCGGTGCCGGCGGGGGGGGCAAGCTGGACCCGGGGCTCATCATGGAGCAGGTGAAGGTGCAGATCGCCGTGGCCAACGCGCAGGAGCTGCTGCAGGTCCGGACCGGAGGGCTGCGGGGCACGGAGCCGCGGAACCACGCGGCGGAAAGAGAGGGGGAGGCGGGCCGGGGGGGGGGGGGGGACAGGGGGGCCGGGCTGCTGACGGCTCTTTCCGCAGCGTATGACGGATAAATGCTTTCGGAAGTGCATCGGGAAGCCCGGCGGAGCGCTGGACAACTCGGAGCAGGTGAGCGGGGCGCTGCGGGGCGCTGCGCACGGCCGCTCCCGGCGCTCCCCCCGCTCACGGCTCCATGTGCCGCAGAAGTGCATCGCCATGTGCATGGACCGCTATATGGACGCCTGGAACGCGGTTTCTCGCGCCTACAATTCTCGGCTGCAGCGGGAGAGAGCCAACATGTGACGCGGGACGGAGCGCGGAGGCGGCTGCAATAAACCCTCACTGAATCCTGCGCTTCCGCTGGCTTTTATTTGCGCCGAGACCTCCGGCTGTACGCGCTCTGAAGCCCAACGCTGTTTTGATGGGCAGGCACGGAGCTGGCCGGGTCCGTGTCAGCCACGGCTGTATGGGGGGCCGGACTTCCCCTGGGTTTATTGAGTACCTGGGCCACTACAGTACACTGAGTTCTCCCCTCTGCTTTAACCCAAACGGCACTATGTGTGTCCGTGCCTCTGTCCTTGATAATGTAATCACTCTTTCCCTTACACAGAGAGAGCTGTGGTGGGGGTGAGAAGCCTGTGCTGACTAATGCAGATGAGGGCAGGCTGAATTCTAAGCATCTCACTCTTATAGCTTCTCTTGGGATCACACAGAGAGCCACCGAATGGATGGTGGAACAAAAATGGTGGTGTACTCTTTCACAGAGTCATAGAATGACAGAATGGCCTGGGTTGCAAAGGACCACAAAGATCATCAGTTCCAACCCCCTGCTGTGTGCAGGTCGCCAACCAGCAGCCCAGGCTGCCCAGAGCCACATCCAGCCTGGCCTTGAATGCCTGCAGGGATGGGGCATCCACAGCCTCCTTGGGCAACCTGTTCTTGTGTGTCACCACCCTCTGGGTGAAAAACCTCCTCCTAATATCCAACCTAAACCTGCCCTGTCTCAGTTTAAAGCCATTCCCCCTTGTCCTATCACCATCCACTTATGTAAACAGCCACTTACAGCTTTCCATAATCCACTGCACAACAGCACCATCCCAGCAGTGAGGTGCTGATGCTTTGCAGGGGCATAACTCAGGGCTGCAACCGAGTCCGTTTGTCTCCTAGAGTGACTTTGGGATGGCAGTGCAGATAGAGCTTACCTACATGCTGTGACTTTCTGGCAGGTGTTTGTGTCACCCCTCTGGCTCGGAAGGCCAGGTGTTAATGCACAGGATGTTGGCCATGTCTGAAGATGGGACAGGTCTCATTTATTTATAGAAAAAAAAAAAAAAGTCTAGAATTGCATCTTTCTAAGCAAAGCAGTTATCAAATAACCCAGTGTCAACGACTGCAGTGGGTCACACCACACGAGCAGTTGCTGAGTACTCGCAGACCATCTTCACCCATCTTTGCAGCATCCAAAAAGTGTACAGTAGTGGTGGTGGGGTCGGTGTGTCCCCTGGAAATTATTCCTCTCATTTGTCACCTTCCCTGAGTGGTGAAATTCAGCTTCAGAGCTTGAGGTTCTGCGCAATCCAGCCTTGCACTGCCGTGACTTTGGTGTAGACCCCAGGAAAGTATGGCCTGGCACAGCCATAGCCCCAGCTTGTGATTCCTGCTAGAAACCACCGTCCTGAGGGTTCTTTACATGCCAGGGGCCCACCTGCATCACCCTGCAGAGAGAGGAGAAGGGTCCTGTATCAAGCCAAGAAGACAACCAAGCCAACCCAGCCCCCAGCTTGGAGATGATTGTGTTGTCTAGGGTGCAGGAACATACGCTGTCCCATTACCTGCCTCTGCTGGAGCCCAGAGGGCTGCTCAGTGATGCATTTGTATGCACAGAGACTGGGACTCTGAGACATTACCAGAGGTGCAGCAGGGTTGTGAAAGGGGCCTGTGGTACCCTTGTGGCATCCTGTTTGGTGTTACCTCTGTGTGTATCCCTGAGCTGTTCCAGGTAGGTGGAACACAGAAAACAGAGCATGTGTGGGATGGACTCGGATGAGGTGATGGGAAGAGGAGGTGGTGGGATGGACAGCTGAGCTGGGGGCAGGGCATGGCCCTCCTAAAGCACGTGGGGACTTTGCATGAGTTTGCTCCATTCCACAGCACCATTTGCCGCTCTCACACTCACTGAGCAGCTGTCGACGGTACCCTGTGGGAATCCAGCACACACCATCCTGCTGCTGATCTGGACAGGATAGAACTTTTTGCAGTCCTGGTCTCCAATCACATTCACTGCTGCTTTTTGCAGATGCTTTGTCATGAGGCCTGAGGAGGCAAATATCACTGTTAGCTTGGTGCAGAGCTCACAAGAAATAGAAGCATGTGTAGGAGTAGGATCCCCATAGATTTACTCATGTGCTAGAGGGAGAGACCTGCACCGGGAAGGTGACCCAAGCCTGGTTCCTCCCCAGCACAGGAAGCACAGGAAGATCCTTTTGGGCTATTGTTTGTCAGGCAGTTCAGCCGACTGAATAGAAATGGGATCAAAGCAGACCTTGTGCTGCAGGAGCCTAGCTGGAGCAGCTGGAAGGATGGGGAGTGCCATGGCTGCTGTTAGAAAGCTTGGGAGGTGTAACCAGATGGATGGGTACAGCCTGTGGGGGGCAGAGGTATCCCCTACAGGGTATGGGTTATGTGGAATATTTGGGGCAGAGGGATGGGAAATGCAGTGGGGCCTGCAGGGTGGGTGGCACTTAACAGGGCCATCATGGGTGTGTGAAGGAGCCCTGCCAGGAAGTACCTCCTTCCTTGGTGGAGCCCCAGCCTGTGATGAAGCACCTGGCTCCTTCCTGGAAGATGTGCGAGTTGTCTGGGAGACAAATGGGTTTGATGGTGCTGCTGAACCTGACAGGCATGCTCAGCTCCAGCAGTGCCACGTCATAGTCCAGGCTGTAGACATTGTAAAAAGGGTGCTTGTAGATACGGAATATTTTCTCCATTTTGCCATCGTTGCCATTCAGGAAGGGTGTTCCTAGAAAGGCCACCCACATTTTGGGGTCACTGTAACTGCAGAAAGACAGCAGAGCTGGCTGTTAATATGGCTAGCAAGGAGTGCTGCTCCTGCATCCGTGGGGCTGGGATGCACCACAGCCACACACTGTGAGGCCACAGCCCATCTCCATCACACTGTAGTGCACCCAGGCTTTGCTCCGCTCATTCCTCTTCATGCTTACCCGTAGGGGCTCATCTCTAACAGGCAGCGTGTGCTTCCAGTGAGGTACAGCATCCCGACCACGAGGAAAGGGAAGGGCAGATGGGAGGGAGGCCGAGGGCCATCTCAGACTTACATATCAAAGCAGTGAGCTGCAGAGAGCAGCCACCTGTCGGCAATGAGGACAGCCCCACACTTGTGCTCCTTCTGCCGAAGCCAGAGACTGACTTGCCAGGGCCATTCTCCTCGAGCTGCAGAGCTCCCACCCACGATCTTGCTGAAGGCCAGAGCAGTGGTTAAGCCGCAGTCTGGGACGGAAGAAGAGGCACTATGGTTTTAAATAACCATAAGCATAAGGGATATTCCTTCCCTATCCCCTGCAGTGCAACACATCTGGGAACTCGTTATCTCACATGGGGATGTATGACCCGAACTGTGACACAGCAAGGGATGTGTAGCCCAAGTAATGGCACT